GCGGTGCCTCACTCCGCTGGACCCACCAGCAGCCCTCGAACGTGGCCACAGTTTCGCAGATCGCAGCCCCCCAGGGAGGGCGAGGTCCCGCTCAGATTTGCGCGGTCTCACTCCGCTGGACGCCCTCGAAAGTGGTGACAGTTTCGCAGATCGCCATGCTGGCCTCCCAAGCAGCCCTCGAAAGTGGCGACAGTTTCGCAGATCGCATTCCCCCAGGCCCGGCGAGGTCTTGCTTAGATCTGCGCGGTGCCTCGCTCCGCTGGACCCACCAGCAGCCCTCGAAAGTGGCGACAGATTCGCAGATCGCAGTCCCCCAGGCACGGCGAGGTCTTGCTCAGATCTGCGCGGTGCCTCACTCCGCTGGACCCACCAGCAGCCCTCGAAAGTGGCAATGGTTTCGCAGATCGCAGTCCCCCAGGGACGAAGTCCCGCTCAGATCTGCGCGGTGCCTCACTCCGCTGGACCCACCAGCAGCCCTCGAAAGTGGCAACAGTTTCGCAGATTGCGACAAGTTCGCACATCGCAGCCCCCCCAGGGACGGCGAGGTCCCGCTTATCTGCGCGGTGCCTCACTCCACTGGACCCACCAGCACCGCGCGAAAAAGGCGACAGTTTCGCAGATCGCAGCCCCCCGGGGACGGCGAGGTCCCGTTTGGATCTGCGCGGTGCCTCACTCCGCTGGAACCACCAGCAGCCCTCGAAAAAGGCGACAGTTTCGCAGATCGCAGCCTCCCCAGGCACGGCGAGGTCTTGCTCAGATCTGCGCGGTGCCTCACTGCCTCACTCCGCTGGAATCACCACCAGCAGCCCTCGACAGTGGCGACAGTTTCGCAGATCGCAGCCCCCGAAGGACGGCGAGGTCCCACACAGATCTGCGCGGTGCCTCACTCCGCTGGGCCCACCAGCAGCCCTCGAAAGTGGCGACAGTTTCGAAGATCGCAGCCCCCCCAGGCACGGCGAGGTCTTGCTTGGATCTGCGCGGTGCCTCACTCCGCCAGACCCACCAGCCCTCGAAAGTGGCGACAGTTTCGCAGATCGCAGCCCCCCAGGCACGGCGAGGTCTTGCTCAGATCTGCGCGGTGCCTCACTCCGCTGGCCCCACCAGCAGCCTTCGAAAGTGGCGACAGCTTCGCAGATCGTAGCCCCCCAGGCACGGCGAGGTCTTGCTTAGATCTGCGCGGTGCCTCACTCCGCTGGACCCACCAGCAGCCCTCGAAAGCGGCGACAGTTTCGCAGATCGCAGCCTCCCAGGCCCGGCGAGGTCTTGCTCAGATCTGCGCGGTGCCTCACTCCGTTGGACCCACCAGCAGCACGCGAAAGTGGCGACAGATTCGCAGATCGCAGCCCCCCAGGCACGGCGAGGTCTTGCTCAGATCTGCGCGGTGCCTCACTCCGCTGGACCCACCAGCAGCCCTCGAAAGTGGCGACAGTTTCGCAGATCGCAGCCCCCCAGCGACGGCGAAGAGAGGGCAGGAGGCGAGAGGAGGCGGGAGGCGGGAAGAGGAGGAGAAGGAGAGACGCGACCACACCCCTCCCCTCTATTCAAAACGAATACCCAACCAAGAAGGGTTGGGAAAAACTAAAGATTTGAAAAGCAAGAACCGGAGCCACGTTACAGCATGAAACAAACCAAACATTCGTTCAGCACGTCACCGCGCCACGAATCATTGCGGCCGTGCTGGGCCGTCGTGTTGGGGGGTTGTGCTGCTGATCGTGTGGGGGGGTGCTGGGGGCTGGGCTGGGAGTCGCGCTGGGGGGTCGCGCTGGGAAGTTGTGCTGGGGGGTTGCGCTGGGGGATTGTGCTGGGGGGTTGTGCTGGGGGTTGTGCTGGGGGATTGTGCTGGGGGGTTGTGCTGAGAGGTTGTGCTGGGGGGTTGTGCTGGGGGGTTGTGCTGGGGGGTTGTGCTTGGGGTTGGTGCCTGGGGGGTTTGGCTGGGGGGTTGTTGTGGGGTCGTGCTGGGGTGTCGTGCAAGATGGGTTATGCTTGGGGGTTGTGCTGGGGATGAGGCTGGGAGGTCGTGCTGGGGGGTTGTGCTAGGGGGGTTACGCTGGGGGCTTGTGCTGGGGGGGTGCGCTTGTGGTGTTAGGGTGTCGTGCTGGGTTGCGCAATGGGATTGTACTGGGGGGTTTGTGCGGGGAGGTTGTGCTGGGGGTTGTGCTGGGGGTTGTGCTGGGGGGTTCGTGCTGGGCGTCTGCACAGGGGGGGTTACGCGGAGGGGTTGTGCTTGAGGTTGTGCTGGCTTTTGTGCTGGGGGGCTATGCTGAGGGTCTGCACAAGGGGGGTTACGCGGGGGGAGTTGTGCTTGGGGTTGTGCTGGGTTTTGTGCTGGGTGGTTGTGCTGGGGGGTTGTGCTGGGGGGTTGTGCAGGGGTGTTGTGATGGGGGGTCGTGCTGGGTGGTTGTGTAGGGGGTTGTGCTGGGGGGGTGCGTGGCTGGGTTGTGCAGGAGGGGGTTGCTGGGGAGTTGTCATTGGGGTTGTGCTGAAGTTTGTGCTGGGGGGT